CACAGAGGCTTTCCCAGAGATGCTGACCTTAACTGTGAAGTTACTCACACGCATTATTGCATGCTGGAATCACCTGGGGAAATTTTGAAGGCACTATGTACCAATTCAGACCTGCTCCATTTAATCAGAATGAGTACAGCTGCAATTCAGGATTGTTCTAAAGGTCCTCAGGTGATTCCATTGTGCAGGAAGGTTTGGGAATCACAGGGATGAACAGAATAGTACATAGGAATGAACTGCTGCTGAACGGTGGGATTTGGGATAATTCTTGGTTTCCTTGTTTGTCACACTTGGTTTTTGGATGAACTTCCTTTTTTAAAAAAATTAATTTTACTGAGAAATAGCAATGAGACAGTTTCAAAACAGTTTAGTAGGATAGTTACGATAATTCATATATTGCATATTGTTACCTTCATAGTAGATATTCATTGTACAAGATGAAGACATGTTATCTAAACACTATTAGTACAGGTTAGCTCAGCTGTTTAAGTGCCAGCTCTGGAAAACCCAGTCAGGCACACAGACCCCACTTCGATGACAACCTCCACCTGCCTTACCAGACCCTCCTTTATGGTAGCATGAGCCAGTCAGAAAAAAAAAAAAGAAAAAAGAATCTTTCAAAAGAAATTTCAAGTAAGGTTTAGTAAGCCTTCTCAGTGTCTCATGGTCAGTCTGTGATGTAACTCCATTTGGAATAAAAACTGATTCAAACACTATAGAAATGTTCTTGGATATGTTTCCTGGTTGACTTAACATCTAAATGATGTTAAGCTTCATTTTGGACAGTGAGGGCAAGTGGAAGCCTATAGATCACCCCCATAAACCCCTCTGTTCCCTAATATACAGCACCTGTGCATAACTTAGACATGAAGTCACATCTGAGGAGATGGTTCTCTCTGTTAATACTTTATTTAAACTACCTTTGAAACATTTGCTATAAATAATATACTATATAGATGTATGCTGCAATAGTTGCGTGAAGACTTAGGTTTACTAGGAAGTTTTCTTGTCATGGAAAAGTGATTCTCTTTGTTTACAGTATAGGACTACCATTATTTAGAAAAAGGAGGAATACAATGTACAGAGGAATAATAAATTCAGTCAACTGAATACATGCATGTCACTCCAACTTTTTAAAAAAATATTGTGTGGTTTATTCTTAAGCACATTGGATATATAGAGAAATTCTCCAGGATAGAAGTTTTATGTTTGGAAATGACAGAAAACTGTGTAATGATGTATAATAAAAAAATGTGTTGTAACATCACATTGCCTGGATCTGGTCTCTATGTATGATAATAGCTGATGAAGTTTTATAGATTGGAAAGTAACCATATGGTACTCTTCTGACACTGAAGGATTTCTAGGTTATGGGATGTCCTCCCTTTAAAATATGTCTTCCATTTCACCAAAAGGTAGACTAAGTCATAAGTGTTGTATTTTTTTCTTTTACAGTGTCATCTTCGCATTTTCACATACAGAAAAGGTGAGTACGTCAGAACCTATCTTACTTATCTTACAATCTTACTCTTGCAATTAATTTGTAAAATACCTCATTAGGATTAGGTCCTGAATGAAGGCATCAAAGATTGTACTGTGCCTTTGGTAACCTACACAAGTACATCATTTTGCATTATTGTAATTAGGACTGCTGAA